TAACTCTACATTGTAACAACTCTCCCACTCATATTTAGGATCTTCCTTTAGCACTTCTCTTTTTCAGGTATGCTGCTCTGAGAAAGACTGTTTAGGTCTTGGAAATGGTGTCTTTAATCAGAAGCCTGTACTGTGATTGCTGAAGAATATACTAGGCAGTAGATGGCAGGAATCCAAAACGAGTCAGACACTTGTATAGCGCCGTGTGCTCTGTGTACACCTACCTCTGCCTGCTTTGGTATTTACTGCTACTACACACCACGTGAGTCACCAGCTAACACTGCTACCTGTCCCCCTTAGTGCTTGTGGTACCAGCTGGGTACAGCTGTGGGCACAGCAATCCTCTCCAGGTCTCGCTCCCCCGCACAGCTGAGGAGTGCAGGGAACACAGCCGGGCTGCTGCGTGGTGTGATCAGGGGTGCTCAGCCCACCAACAGTACCTGCCTTGCCAGGATGATGACCCAGGCATGCACATCTCCCAGAGAGCCTCCTTATTCCAAACTTTATATAGGGAGAAAACTCTAGAAGGATCATGTCTCCATCTTTTTGGCTTGCCTGTGACTGTACTGCAGTTTGCAGTGGGCACAGTGCACCCACGTGTCAATCCAACACCCCGGGAAGCATCTGCCTTGCTGGGCAAGGACATCCAATCTGTCATCTGTTAGAGCAAGGTCCATAACGTGTATCTGTCTCTTCACAGAGTGTTACAACAGCTAGGCACCCCTGCTGAGCTCACACACTCCTCCAGGTCACGACCGCAGCTTCTTCCCCTCCACATGGAGCCCAGTGAATGCACTCTGTGCTTGGCTGGGCTTTGAATGACCCAGGTTGTCCCCATCTCCACATCACCTTGTTCAGCAGCAGGTCTGACATGAACACTACCCATTCACACCTTCCAGCTGGGAGCATCCAACCATGTCCAGGCTGCTTCCCCAAGCTTGTGAAGTCTTGAATCTACATTTAGATCAGTGTGATCAGTTTAATGCAAAAGCCTAAAGCACAAATAAAAGAAACAGTTGTGGACCAGGCTCCTGAAGTTTGGAGTGGCACCTCCCTGGGATATTACTGTGAGTCTGCTGCCTCCTGGAGATGCTGTAAAGGTGCTGTGCTTTGTGTCACTGGGATGCAATGATCCCCAGAGCCAAAGTGCATCGCAGGTAGGCAACTACTGCGGAGCAAAATGGAACCAGCAATCCCACTGGGACTGGCTAGGAAAGCCAGATTTCACTCTGCCTTTCATACTGTCAGGAGGAGATGAGCCCTGGGAACTTGGACCAGGCCAGACCCTGATGTAGGAAATGCTGATGCTCTGTCCTTCCAGCAGCAATACACTCTACTCCTGATGGAAAAAGTGACTGCATACAAGGCAGCTCCGTTGCTGCTGCTCCTTCTAATGAAGCAGGAATCAAGGTCAAAGCCAGGTGTCTGCAGCAAGCAGTGCTGCTTCTGTGCCTGAACTTCTTGGTGTGTTCAGTGGCCCTACCACAGAAAGAGCTCTTTGGTTCAGCTGCTTTGTGCAGCTCTCACCGACAAAGGGACAGACTGAGAGCGGTACCTGTTGCTCTTTGCTTTCTCACCTTTACCAGCCCCCTCTTGGACTGAATCAGAGCAATTTATTCCCTCCCCCACATCCAACACCATCCCTTCTCTAGCATTTTCTCTCACTAAAGCAAGAAACACTTCCATTAAGACTTTTTCCAGCCCTTCTCTTGCCTCCCAGCAAACTGCAGGTGCTTCAGAGGTTTTCTCTGACAGACAAAGGGAGAATAGGGTTAATAGAGCAGGGACTGCAGAACAGCTCCATAAATGAGAAACCTTCCCCTCTAAATGGGAGAGGACCCCACTTCCAGAACCTCTGCCTCGTGCTTGCATTGCCATTTTCTCTTTGTTCCCTGCAACCTGATCCTGAGACGCCCCACTCCTGGTAGCAGGACCGCGTACTTGCGGGACACCTTTGCACACCTGCACTCAAAAGAAGTTTAAAAAAACTGTCTTTGTCTTACTAGCCTCTGCTTAGAGGGAACAGAAGCAGTCTCCTGGTCCAGCTGCCTGAAGACATGATGACCCCTCGGCAAGCTGCAGCCACCTTGGGTGCAATACCAGCCGTGCAGGGTCAGTGTGCAGTGGTGGCTCTGTGAGTGCCTCTCTTTGTAGGGTGCAGCCTGGCCCTTGCCTCTGTGTGCTACTGCCAGAGCAGGGCTGAAGGGAGCTCACTTTTCTTTCTCTCCTCTCTGCTTTTTACAGGCTTTCTGGTGCCTGGCTGAACAGAGAGGGAGAAGGAGCCACTGCTGAGAACAGGGTCTGCTGAGGTGCCTGGGTTATACAGGGGTGGGAGGCAGAGGATGCCTCTACTGCACACACAGCCAGGCCTGGCATTGCTTGGCCTCAACGTGGAGTTGTTGAGTTAGTGAAATTTACTTCAGACAGTACAGCAGGAAAGGTAGAATCAGTTAACTGACTTCTCATCAGTCTTTCTCCAAGATTTGTGGCAAGGAGTTAACTCTTTCCATTTCAGCAAAACACTGCACTAGTGCTGTATTTGAGGACAGATCCTAGACAGGTTTTCTCTTAAATTCTTGGCATCACACAGCACTAATCCCATGTGCCTTGAGGACACTTTTTCTAACAGCCAATAAAGTCTGCTACCTTTACAAATTTCTGATGTTAAAAAACTAAAGAGCAGCTTCAACTTAGAACATGAAAATCTCTTTTTAACACTGCTGTCACCCTGTACCGCATCCTCAATGAAGCCTGGTTGTGTGAGTCTTCCCCTAAGCCTATCCAGCTTGTTCTCATCTCTGTGCATGTGCATCTCATGAATTTCTCATGCACTCAGCACACTGTGCTTTTACTCAGCATACTGTACATGTGCAGTGAATCCAGGTGTCAGTGCCAATGCTGTCCTCAGACAATGCACTCTGGACACATCCACACCTGATGAAAGCCCACTGAACTCAGCAGGGCTGCACCACCACACGCTTTGGCCAGTTCTATTAAGCACTGGAACTGGTGCCACTGCTCTAATCTCCAATCCCTTGAGAAATGCATGAGACCATTGCTAATTTGGACCATGTCTGATTTTAACCATGTTCTTAGAATGACAGTGTTGGGTCTGTAATTACAATGCAGTATCCTAAAGGAGCTGGTGCAAGTATGTGCAGAATGTTCATTAAATGATTTTTCTTGTCTGGGCATGCAAGACTTTCCCCCATTTCAGAGACATACAAAGGCAAGCTTAGCCACAGAGTGCTTCTTGACAACTTCTTCACCTGATAATCCTGAGAGGCTCTTGCTCAGTTCCTAGGGGACTCGTGCTGAAATCAGAGCCTTTTTATTACATTACTATGGATATCTAAGCAGCCCCTAAGGAATTAATGAAGAGGAAACTACCTCCTATCCCTGCTGGCTGGGTCTCTTCAGGTCAGGACTGAGACTCATCAATGTTTTGGAGCACAGATACTTGCCTGTACTCTGCATCCTCTGTGGGTAAATACAGGACTTAACTTTCCAGTTCTCTGAACTATTAGCCAATCAGCAAATTTTAATTATAAGCCAGAAATGGGAAAAAAACCCCCAAACCGAAACAACACAAAGCACATCAATACAGAGAGTGGTAATTACATGCATGCTGCTCAGAGGCAGGCTTCTCTTCATGTCTGATTAAAAATTTTTCTATGAAATAATTGCTAGAAGAAGGAATTACAGTGAACAAGCATTTAGAAACTGTAGATTATTACCTATCATTGCTGCTTGCCATTCCACACAGCACTTAAAATGTGTAGCTCTACACAGACACAAGCAAACTCTCTTTTATAACACCCTTAAAATACCAATTCACCTCAGCGCATCAGAACTTCTTCCCGACTCATTCTACCTGTCCTTGGGATCGCTCTAAGTCGCTCTCAGGCTGGAGATGTTAAACCAGTGAGCAAGCCATGCTGTTTGCCCACCCAAGCTGTGCTGGGATGGCAGCTCTGCCCACTGTAACTACAGCAGCTCCCCTCGGTCCTGCGTGCCGAGGCATCTCACTGGCAGCAGCCACAGGCAGCCCCCTCCAGGAGGGAGCACCTGCTCAGTCCCTGTCTCAGCTAGGCAGTGCTGCCGATGTGATGCTCGTGTGGCATCTGCACGTTTGGAGCTGTGTGCTGGCAGTGGAGCCTCACAACTGTTCACATCCAAGACTGGGACATCCTTTTCCTCCTTATCTGTGCCGTCTCTAGCTTTTCTTGTTCCAATCACCTCTGTAACATCTTTGCCCCTTTTTAAGTAGGAAATTTTGCTCAGGATTATACACTCTGGAGGCTGGTGCCTGTCAGCTGGGACTTTCTTCCAAGCCCTGTACCTGCATTCAGGGGTCTCACTGTCAGCATTGCCACTGCCTTTGCAGTGCACTGACCTCAAGACTAGGCTTTCTACCTCCTGTCCTGCTCCACCAGCCACGGGGACAGGCTCACGAGTGTGACAACTCTCTGCTAAGCCCCTGACAGCGTGCTCCTTCCCCAGTCAGGTTCCGTAGTGGTAGCGTGTCTCTTCCTAAAGCCAGCCCTGCCCCACGGAGTCGGGTGGGGATTTGGAGCAGAAAAATTCGGCAGCTACACTTGCACTCACTGCCGGCCCGGCAGGCGATCGGTGGGGACCCGGCCGTGTGGGTACCGCTCTGGTACTCACATGGCCAAAACGACAGCGGCAGAAACTTCACCACAGGCTCACTCTGTATGTCAAGTTCAAAGTCAGGGTGCGCTAAGGCGGGGGGGAGGACGAGAGCAGGCAGGGACAAACCGTGGCGAGGGAGGCAGCGCCGGGACGGCAGCACCCGGCGGGGGAATGCTGCTGTCCGGGAGATGATGCTGCTGTCCGGGAGATGCTGCTGTCCGAGAGATGCTGCTGTCCGAACCGGCCGCGCGGAGCCCGGGGCATCCCGAGGACACCGCGGGCGCTGCCCCCATCCCGCACAGCGGGCAGGAGCCGCTCCGCAGCCTCGCCCGTCCCGCGGCACTCACCCGGCAGCCCGAGGCACAGCAGCAGGCTGTAGTAGACGACAGGTGCGTATCCCAAGCCGCAGCCATAGCGGTGGTGCGCCAGGAGCGAGCCGTTGTGGAGGTGGAGGTGGTTGTGCTCCATGGACCCGCTGTCCCCGCTGCCGGCGCTCGCTCCGCCACACGGGCCGCCCCTCGCTCGCTCAGCGGCGGCGGGAGCGCGGCGCGGCCCCGCGGCGGGCGGCGGCACATGGAGCGGCCCCCGGGCAGCCGGCGGGGCCGGGCCGGGCCGGGCGGGGAGGGGCGGGACCGGCCCCGCCTC